CTCTATCAAGTAATCCACTCAATAAATATCTCACTAATTGTTATAAACTGAAAAACAATTGTGAGAAAAACTTTAGTCATACGTATCATGAATCTATTCTAATGTTTTTGTTCACCATAAAGTAATGTCATTTTTTTACTGGGTCATTATCACATTCTCTTTCTTTGTTTTCCAACAAGATGATATACCTTTAAAATTTACTTGGTCCATAACGGATGATCGGTACACAAATTCTATTAGAAACTCCTAATATGACAGAGTGGGACATGGTTGATGTCTTTTTTTTTTTTTAACATTAATGGTTGATGTCTTTGCGAGTAAGATAGCTCCATTCCATAAACTGCGACATAAATTAGCTAGATTCAATGTTTTCGTGGCATAACGATGACACAAAACGAATAATTATGGATGAAAGCCAATTCTGTTTTGGTTTGTATTTGGATAGATTTTTTTTTTAATAATTTATAAACTTTGAGCGAAATATAAAATATGGAGTTTTTTTATATGCATACACATATTTCACTACCATTATTTAAGTATCGTTAAATATTAATTTATTAATCTTAAAAAATATTTACAAACAATCGACGATAACACAAGTTTGAACCAGAATTTAATAATTCTAAAAATTGATTTTATTTTAACCTCTTATTCGAGATCAATGTTGGAGTAGATTGGTTCAGTTCAGTCTTTTACCTATATATTCGTATATGTAAAATTTCTAATTTTTATAAAATTTCTGCGTAAACTAATTTAGTAATTTAATTGTAACTAGGTGTTTTTCTGCTCAAGATGCGGAGTTCGATTAAACTTTTTAAAAAATAATAACATTAGTTTATTTATAGATAAAAAAATCGGAGTTTATAATTATTTGAAATCAAAATTAATATATTTGAAAAATAAAATTTTTATGAGATTATTATTTTTGGGCCATATAAATCAATTTTCATAAGATTTAGAGTTTTACTTGTGACCGCATAAATTAATTAGGTTAATCAAAAATATTAGTAGGTTAAACGATCAAATTAAAATTAGTTTAAAAAAATAATTAGAATTAATTTTTTTGTGATTTATGCTAATTATTTTTTTAGTAAACTGAATATTTTTATGATATAAACTCGAATTTGGAAATTTAGGTTTAAATAAAACAAAAATTAAAAATTATATTATATTAATTTGTTAATTTCATTAAGGGTAAATAAAGTCATTTCATACAAGGAGTAAATAGTAATCAATTATCATAACACAGTCCAACTTGCTTGCCAAATAATAATATAATAATTTACTTTTTATTTAAAGTTGGGCAAAGCATATGGCGAAAAATCATCCCGGTCTACAACAATAGAGGCCTTTAGATGGGAATTGCACTAGATGGCTAAAGACCGGTAGTGAATTAGGGAATTGACTATTGTTTTTCATCGTCCAAGCATTAAATTAATTTGCCACTTCTTTTGCCCACGATACCCTCACGCGCTATCATCTTTCTTAGACCCCCACAAATCCAGTCATGATATGAAATATTCTGTATAATGAACCTACAAACAAATAAAATATTATGTTACTGAGTTAAACTTAAAAAGCCACAACTATGTCTTTGTGTGGCGAATGAAACCACATATTTAATATCCCACCCTCTTTCTTTGGTGGAACCATAAAGACAATTCGTCTTTTTTGGAAATCAAACACCTGAAAAACCCACCATAATGGTTTCATGAAATCTTATAGCTCCACATTGCCGTCTTTGGATTTTTTTCACCCGATAAACCCAAAGCAAACCAGAGACAAGGGAATTTACCAGATACAGAGGAAGAATGGCTGTTCATCGGTGAAATATAGCGACTCACCCACCGAGAGTTGAATATCCAAGTAACATCCATCTGTCGGTTGTATATTTCTGTTCCAACTGTTTTTTACTACTAAGTTCCGACTTTTTGCCGTTATCTTATCCGATTGTGGGAAGATATTCCTGTTGTCTCATTCAATTATGGGAAGTGATTCCCACCTTTGTCGGGTTTCCAGTCTTTGATTTTTCCAGAAACATTGCATAAGTGACGAAATCTTAGGTCTCGAAATCAGATCTTCAACAATTACAACAAAATCTCATACTCAGAAACCAGATCTCCACATGTATATATGCACATCCGATTCGATATATAGTCATCTATTTCAGTAGTTAGACTTTAATGGTTAGTAGAATTAGTTGCATATTCAAGTCAAGGCAAAGAGATCACATTCATATATGTACATCCTCATTGATATATAGTCATCAATCATTTCATTTAGGTAACTTAACTATAAATCTGCGTAGCCCCGTATCCTACATTATAGATCTCCAACAATATAATCGAATTCATGATTACGTGGATATCTAAATGTCAACATGCGGCCTTATAATCAGCATGCGGGTTATTTTTGTAGGTGGTTATGACTTCAATAATCGAAGACGAATTCGATGGAACCCCCCAAGTGCCTTCGCATGGCCTGTTGAAGTAGACGACCCCAAGGTGGATCACTTGGAGATGCTTACTGTAGAGGGTACATGATTTTGTAGAGATATTATTGGTGGGGGTCAGAAAGGTGGTGCTCCACCGACACAACCTGCGGTTATACAAAGTCAGAAACATGAAGGGAAATGTACGGGGAAAAAAGTTCGGCGGGGCTTAAGAAAGTCAAGGAAGGTAGGAAATCAACAAAAGCTCGGCAGAACGATGAAAGTGTGCCTAACACGATGGAGATGATATCAGCTATCTTAACCTTGCAGTCTCGTTTGTTCCTGAACACCCAGCCCAAATATAACTCATCTCCCTCATATACCACATCCAATATGACATTCTCTGTTTGATCCAGTCATGTGAAAACCCGTTTGTCAAATATATTAGACGTCTATAACCTATTGTACACGTTTATATAGTATTCTTTTAACAGCCATTTATATATTTGTCCATTATATATAATGACACCCCACCAATATTAATAGACAGTTATATAAGCTCGTAGATTAACATATATTATAGATGCATGAGCAAGATAAACATCTATGAAAGAAAATAACACACTATAATATAAATTACCAGCACATATAACAAACTAAGAAATAACATAACCACTTTAAAATGATATATCACTCCACTAATGTTAATAGACATCTACGATACACTTATATCATCACAAATCCCCATCATTTCAAATAACCCGTTACAATTCCATCACCGTCAATCCACTTCGGCATCTCGTACGTAAGCTCGATATTCTCCTCATCCATATCGATGTTTAGCTCTCTACATATTGTCACCTTGACCGAAGCTATTCCATGGTCCTCCCACAACTTTATAACTTTGCTAAGCCTATCCTCCAGTAACACAAACCGTCAAACCCCACCGGCATCTTTCATCCACCATCCTTGCTCTGCCCGCACCAGATCACTGAGGACCTCCCACAGTTGTACCATTGTTGATAATCCCTAACAATATCAAATTCATAACGATGCCGTTATTAATAAGAGAGATGCTTCAAGTTACAACATAGATATTCATACACAGTATGAAAGAATTCAGAATAATTTACCTGATTATTCAGCTTGTAGCGCTCTATGAAATTAGAAGCAGGAACTAGTATTTATGGATAGTCAATAAACCTAGCTGTGCCTATATATTTTAGTTTTCCACCCCGCTCATCGATAATCTTGTTGCAGCATTACATATGGCATTAATTCGTCATCACCTCTGTCTATATCATGCTTACGTAAGGCGGCGGCGAATATATCATATCTCCTCATTTATTACGAAGCTCAAAATCAACTTAAACTCATACCATAAATGTTCACATATTCGCCCTCACCCACTTAATACTCGTCATCACCTACTTCATTATTCCTCTCACCCACGCGTACACAGTGGCATCAAATGTAAATAATCAAATCCACAAATCACTGTTCATCATCCTTTAGCTAATTCCTTCTGGCTTATTTACCTTTTGCTATTTTCCTAATTTAATCCCAACATTTGGCTTTTTACCAAATTATCCCCCTTTAGATCAACCATTTAATGATTTCAGTCATATATTTTCCAGTCGTTGATACTATTTATTTTTCCTGACAAACAAAAAGATAATATACATCAATCTTTTGAATAATTCATTGGTAGCTACGTGGAAATCGCAAATACAATTTTTCAGCAGAAAACAAATAAACATCACTTTACAATAAAATTTAACACCTATTTTTTTTATATTTTAACATTCTACATCATTTTTTTTCTTTTACCTAATCATTTAACATTTACTTAATTTTTTTTAATTCTACAATAGTTTTGTTTAATAAAATTGAACACTATACTCTACTATTTTTATTTCAAAATTTTATTTGTTTTTAATACTTTGTATATATCCAAATCAAATAAAAAAGCTTATATTTATAAGCTATCCAAAATGATAAATTTTAATATAAAAAATAAATATAAAAATTAATTTACTATTAGATATTGATTTCAAATATTTAGAATGACAAAAAAATAACAAGAATTTAAACAATTAATAATAATATGCCATCTGTCATTATCTCTCTCATCTTTTTACGTTTCAACATATTAAAAAAATTTAACATGATTAGATCCACATTATATTAAATACCATTTACAACACCTTCATTATATCAGTTCTAGTTGAATTTTGTTTTTAACATTCTCATTGTATATAGTCTAAGCCTCTAAGGAATATATCTCTTATACAAACAAATCATTTATTGATTATATATCATACATAATCAAGAAATGCTACGAGCAAATGGACAAACAACATTGAAAAAATATGACAATTAACATTATTTATTCATAATCTGGATATTGTGAGATATAATATATGTTTCTTTATATTATTATTATTTTTTGTTTCTTTATATTATAAGTCAATGAAAGCCTACTATACTTATCATAATCTGATTATTCCCACATTTATCGCCACGTGTTGCCCTAGCTTCCTCTCTATATATAACCCCGTCTATATTCATTAACATTTCTAAGGCTACGAGCATCATCATACAAGCCCTAGTTACATTCTACGTATTCACTAAATTGATTTGCTTATAGGGTACTAAATATGGCAGTTAAGTTTGCACTTCTAGTCACAGTCTTTGTAGCCTTATTGGTTATTTCAAACGGAAGATCTCTTACGTTTTCGACGAAACCACTTGATCGTTATAGTTTTCCTCCTGGTTTTATTTTTGGTGTTGCTTCTTCAGCTTATCAGGTTAGTTAGTTTTTATGTAATCGTGTTGCAAAAAAAATTATGACATCAAATAATATATATCGTATCTATCCCCTCATAATTTTAAAATTTGGTTAAACTAAACGTTAGTGATATATTTACACGTTCATGTGATTCAGTATGAAGGTGCAATCCAAGAAGGAGGGAGGACGCAGAGCATTTGGGACAACTTCACACATGCATATCCAGGTCTGCGTTATATAGTTTGCTTTTTCATTAAAAGTGTTAAGTATTATTTAAATGGTGATTTAACTACTAATCACAAATATATCTTGGAAATAATTTTTGCTCTAGTAAGTAACATGGTCAAGTTTTGCAGAAAGGACAAATATGGACAATGGAGACATAGCCGTCGATTTCTACCATCGTTATAAGGTACGATTACTATGACTTTTGTTTGTTACGTGCGTAACTATTATTTCTGAAGTTTTTGGCCATAAAAGTAATAAGTTTCTGTTTTAACTAAAATTTTCAATTATAAAAGTAATGAGTTTTGCAAAATATTTTTCTTGGGACATAAAACTTGACCCAAGCCTTATTTAAAAAGCATTTTGTGTTTTATTACATTTAACTATAAGTTCACGTATTGAACAAGCAGGATGACATTAAACTGATCAAGGAAATGAATATGGATACTTTCAGATTCTCGATCTCCTGGTCAAGAATATTACCAAGTGAGTAGTATTAAAATTTCAAAAAATGTTCTAAATTAAGAATTACATAATTCTGTCTTATGTGCATGTATTTACTCATCTGTTGATTTTTCAATATTTGAACATTCAGGTGGAAAGCTAAGTGATGGGGTAAACAGTGAAGGAATTAAATTCTACAAAAATCTTATTGATGAACTTATCGAGAACGGTCAGAATCATATATATATATATATATATATGCTTAAACGAGTGTATGTATTACCTCTTAAACTCTGTAGTATTTCTGATGACATCATATCTAAACATTTACACAGGCATAAAACCATTTGTAACTATCTACCATTGGGATATCCCTCAAGTATTAGACGATGAGTATGGTGGCTTCTTAAGCCCTCGGATCATGTAAGTAACATAAAATTATTAGACTGTTTCATTAATGTACCACATACAAAATTAAACACGTGTAGATAATAGTTTTCTATACTTTTTGTTGTCGTTCGCAAAAAAAAAACAGTGATGATTTCCGGAACTACGCTAGATTGTGCTTCGAAGAATTTGGTGACAAGGTCAATATGTGGACAACCTTCAACGAACCATATGTTTATAGTGTTGCGGGTTACGACAGTGGAAAGAAAGCAATGGGACGATGCTCGAAATGGGTAAACAGCTTATGTGTGGCAGGTGATTCCGGTACAGAACCCTACTTAGTCTCTCATCATCTTCTTCTAGCTCATGCTGCAGCTGTTGAAGAGTTTAGAAATTGTGACAAGGTATATATATTATCTCACTATCACTAGTAAAGATTATTCGTATAGCCACATTACTTGCAAAACAAACTAGTCACGAACCATAGGCACGACAAAATTTCCACGATTTTTTTCTATGGCTATATATTAGATTTTTCGTGGGTAATCCATGGCTATATGCATAATTTTTACTAGTGTATATAACTATATATTAAAGTGTTGGAAAATTATATAAAACATTTATGATAATAATCACTTTTTTCGCAAAACAGATCTCACAAGATGGTAAGATAGGTATAGTGCTATCACCTATGTGGGTCGAACCTTATGATGTCGCTTCCGATGCTGATAAAGAAGCAGTTGAACGAGCTCTTGCCTTCTATGTTGGTTGGTAAGTTGTCTTATTTACAAACTCTCAAATTTAATTATAATTTTAAATATAAATTTGTCTAACAAGTAATCAATTATCTTTTTTATTTATGTAGGCATCTCGATCCTCTAGTCTTTGGAGACTATCCGGAAACAATGAAGATAAACGCTGGAAATAGATTGCCTTCTTTTACCAAAAAACAATCAAAATTAATCAAAAACTCATTTGACTTTATTGGAGTAAACTACTACACTGCTCGATTCGTTGCTCACCAGCTTCATCACGACCCTACACGACTTCGTTTCACGACGGATCAACACCTCGAATACAAAGGTTAGAGCCTCATGAATAACATATATTTGGGCTTAGTTATTTTAGTCTCCAGTTCTCCACTTATATTTGATACAAAAAATCCTTTTTTGGTTCTCATAGTGACAAATTGTAGCGGTGATTACATCTCTTCAGAATCGGTATGAACTACAAAATTTTCAAAAACATTATTATCTTTTGAGTGACTTACAAATTTAAGAAAAATGTTTAACTTAGTTTCTGTTTTCCTTCAATTTCAGGATGCAACAAAAACTCTCTACTCATATCCTGAAGGCATACGAAAGACTCTATATTATATTAAAAATAAATATAACAACCCAACGATTTACATAGCAGAAAATGGTGATGAGCGTTTTGATTAAATGACGAGAATCTTACTAATTGTAATATATCATTTTTAATTAGTTTAATTAAATAACCAAAAGTATATTGCAGGACTTGATGACTATGACGTTGAGACAATCCCACTTGAGCAAATTTTAAAGGACACAAAGAGAATAGACTACCATGAAAAACATCTTCAAGAACTCCACAAAGCAATTACGTAAGTAAATTTCACTTTATATATATTTGATGACTAGTAATCCATATGTGCTATAACATTAATTTGTAATATATACACAAATGTAATGCAGAGTGGATGGGTGTGACGTGAGGGGATATTTCGCATGGTCGTTGTTAGATAATTTTGAATGGGAACATGGCTACAAGATGAGGTTTGGTCTGTACTACGTTGATTTTGCCGATGATCTAAAACGATATGCTAAAGATTCAGCGAAATGGTTCAAAAAGTTCCTCCAGAGATCGGAGCAACTGACACCATTGGATCTGTTTAAGAGTATAAAGAAATGGTTGTCTACGTTGCAGATGAACTGAGTTCTTTGGAAAATCATAACATGCATCTGAATATTTTTGTTCTATTGTAGATATCAAAATATGTATACATAATCATTCATACCATAATGTTTTGGTTACAAGATTAACTTGTGATTTGTGTAGATCTTCACAAGTACAAGTCTACAACAATTAAACAATTAGTGTTTTTAAAATGTTTTTTTAAACTTATTAATATCATTATGGACTAGTGTTTTGTTTTGAAGCCCATACCAAAAAAATTTGTGCCTAACATTTTAGCACATTCGAGAAGGAATATTTTTATTAATCCAATAGCCACACATGCAAACATAATCTTTTTTTTTTGTCTCAAATTGGATACTTTCAAATTCTAGATTTCACGATTGAGATCTTCTTTCAGTCTTTAGTCTTGATTCTTTGCTTCAAAAACTGGTAATTTTTCACGACTTTGATTCAAAAAGCTTCTATAGAACCTGGTGTCTTATAGTTAATCATTTGCGAAGAAGAAAACACGAAAGCCGTTTAGAATCATCTATATACAATTAACGATGATAATACATTAAACTAAGATATGTGATTTTGAATATTGTATGAAGAGTACTTCTAATAAAACACATGTGAACACCTGTGATTTCTGTTTTAGTTCTCAATCAATATTTATGTAAATTCTTTTAAGAAATAACTGAAGCAATATGTTAAAAAAAAATCAACCAGATTTATACTCGTAAATTATGTGGTTTTGCAATTATTTTTTTTTTATATATTCAATCGGTATAACATCATGTATAACATCAGAAAATTATATATAACCAATCTTAGATTTTCGTGGAAAATAAGACCATTCTTCTTGCTTCAAAATCAATTCATCTTAGGTAATCTACTTATTTCACAAAAATCAAAGTTTTAGGTGCGTAGTTAGATTTTTAATGATAAATATAAGATGATATTACCCTTAATGAAATTATGAAATTGTCTAAAAAATACAATGACACATTATGTAAATAACATGGTAAGTAAATGTTAATTTAAATTAATACTTCTCTTTTAATAGTATAGATTAGTTGATGCAATAGATGTATCTACGATATTGTTACATCAGCCCCTTTTTTATTGGCTCGTCTCAGATTTTACTTTTTACATGTATAAATTATATAAGCAAGTATTCTTATTAATTAAGAAAAAAACATCAAGTAAAATAAATGATATTAGTATATGTATAACTATATTAGTTATGCATTAAAAGTTTAAAACCATTACAATGGAATTTAACAATTTTAAAATTATGATAAGTGAATGCAATTGAAATTTAATTTAAAAACATAATAAACACATAAACCATTTTTCAAAAAACATAATAAACACATAAATCTTATAGAATACGAGATTTTAAATGTTTCATTCTATAATTTTGGAGTCGTTAAATCTCTATATTCAAACAAATAAAGATAATTAAAATTTAATCCAAGTGAAAAAAACAATTACGAGACTGAATCATCATCCACATGGGATAGTTGATGGCATAGTGCATTAAGAGCGTCCACATGGGATTAAAAAACTAGATCTGATTGGTCCACATCAGCATATTCATTAAATAAAAAAAAATATTAAGTATGATTAGGACGAAAAAACTTGATTTAATTGGTCCACATCAGCTTTTAAATCAAACCAAAAATTATTAAGTATAATTAAAACATTAAAAGTTAATTTAACAAATTATGTCTAATAAAAAAATAATTCAATCTGATTGATCTAAATCAACATATTTATTAAATCAGAAAATGTTAATATGATTTAAAAATTTAAAAGTTAAATAAAAAAATAACAATTAACAATTATATAATATATAAAAGCTAAAAAACATAAACCAAAATATTAATACAGACTCACGCGTAGCACGAGTTATATACCTAGTATAATATATAAAAATTGATGGCATAGTGCATTGAGGGCGTCCACATAGGATTAAAAAACTCGATCTGATTGGTCCACATCAACACATTCATTATATAAAAAAATGTTAAGTATGATTATGACGGAAAAACTTGATTTAATTGGTCCACATCAGCTTTTAAATCAAACTAAATATTATTAAGTATAATTAAGACACTAAAAGTTAATTTAACAAATTATGTCCAACAGAAAAAGTAAATTCAATATAATTGATCCCAATCAACATATTTATTAAATTAAAAAATGGTAATATGGTTTCAAAATTTAAAAGTTAAATAAAAAATTAACAATTAACGATACATGTATAAAAAAAGTAATCATTATTAATTATCAATTTAAAAAAATCTATAACAACTCGATTTAATAAATAAAACAATGAAGATTGAATAAAAATATAACATAAAACTCTTGGAAGACATGATGGAGAAGGAAAAAATAGTTTTGCATGATCATTATAGCTTCCTAACAAAATTAAATGCGAATCAACATGAATTATGGATTATATATACAATGGTACACAAAATCAATAAGACTTTCAATAAAAAACTAAATATTTGAACACATAAACCTTCAAGAAAAAAAAATTATAGAAATTCTATAGAACACAGAAAATAATACCAAAATCTTAGCAAGATTATATTTCTCTAAATCAAATGTATATGTACGTCAAAGTTGGATAATTTGATAGGTGTCATTGTTATTATTTTACCTAATAGTTTTTTAAAATTTATAAATAAAATAGGATAAATTACACATTATATATTAAATTCTTTTATATAAATGAAATATATATATATAATTTTTAATAATTTTAAAGATAGTATCTAAAAAAAGTAAACCAAAATATTAATACAGACTCGCGCGTAGCGCAAGTTATATACCTAGTCATATATATATAAAAGGTGATGTCATATTGCATTGAGGACGTCCACATGGGATTTAAAAACTCGATCTGATTGATCCACATCAGCATATTCATTTAATAAAAAAATGTTAAGTATGATTAGGACGGAAAAACTTGATTTAATTGGTCCACAACAGCTTTTTAATCAAACCAAAAATTATTAAGTATAACTAAAACATTAAAAGTTAATTTAACAAATTATGTCTAACAAAAAAAGTAAATTCAATCTGATTGATCCAAATCAACATATTTATTAAATCAAAAAATATTAATATGGTTTAAAATTATAAAAGTTAAATAAAAAAATTAACAATTAACAATTAACAATACATGTATAAAAAAAGTAACCATTATCAATTATCAATTTTAAAAAAATCTACAACAACTCGATTTAACAATTAAAACAATCAAAACTGAATAAAAATATAACATAAAACTTTGAAAGACATGATGGAGAATGAAAAAATGGTTTTGCCTGATCATTACAGTTTCTTAACAAAATTAAATGCGAATCAACATGAATCATGGATTATATATACAGTGGTACACAACATCAATAAGACTTTCAATAAAAAACTAAATATTTGAACACATAAACCTTCAAGAAAAAAAAAACTAAAGAAATTCTAGGGAAAATAGAAAATAATACCAAAATCTTAGCAAGATTATATTTCTCTAAATCAAATGTATATATACGTCAAAGTTGGATAATTCGATAGGTATCATTGTTATTATTTTACTTAATAGTTTTAAGAAAATTATAAATAAAAATAGAATAAATTACACATTACATATTAAATTATCTTATATAAATAATTTTTTTTATAAATATATTCTATTCTTAATAATTTTAAAAATAGTAGCTAGAAAATTAAACCAAAATATTAATACAGACTCGCGCGTAGCGCGAGTTATATACCTAGTATAATATATAAAAGTTGATGGCATAGTGCATTGAGGGCGTCCACATGAGATTAAAAAACTCGATCTGATTGGTCCACATCAGCATATTCATTAAATAAAAAAAATATTAAGTATGATTAGGACAGAAAAACTTGATTTAATTGGTCCACATCAGCTTTTAAATCAAACCAAAAGTTATTAAGTATAATTAAAACATTAAAAGATAATTTATCAAATTATGTCTAACAAAAAAAGTAAATTCAATATGATGGATCAAAATCACCATATTTATTAATCAGAAAGTGTTAATATGATTTAAAAATTTTAAATTAAATAAAAAATTAACAATTAACAATACATGTATAAAAAAGTAACTATTATCAATTATCAATTTAAAAAAATCTACAACAACTCGATTTAACAATTAAAACAATGAAAACTGAATAAAAATATAATATAAATCTCTTGGAAGACATGATGGAGAAGGAAAAAATGGTTTTGCATGATCATTACAGCTTTCTAACAAAATTAAATGCGAAGAAACATCAATCATGGATTATATATACAGTGGTACACAACATCAATAAGACTTTTAATAAAAAAACTAAATATTTGAACATATAAACTTTCAAGAGAAAAAGAACTATAGAAATCTATAGAAAACAGAAAATAATACTAAAATCTTAGCAAGATTATATTTTTCTAAATCAAATATATATGTACGTCAAAATTAGATAATTCGATAGGTATCATTGTTATTATTTTACCTAATACTTTTTAAAAATTTATAAATAAAAATAGAATAAATTATATATTATATATTAAATTCTTTTATATAAATTAAAATTTTTATAAATATATATATAAGTTTTAATAATTTTAAAGATAGTAGCTAAAGGAAATAAACTAAAATATTAATACAGACGCGAATTATATACCTAGTAAGTTAAAAAGTTAACTAGAATCTATATTATTACATTACACGAGACATATGGATCAGGCCCAAGAAAGTACAACACGGGTTAAGATAAGAGTGAAAACGACGAAAACGCAATGTCTCGTTGTCTAGTGATTGCTTTCTACAAAGGTAGGAAAGTTGTACATATCTCTCTCCAAAAAGGGAAAACAATGATAAAGATCTCTCCTAAGTAGAGTCGGTCCCGAGCCCAAGCAGAGCAAATATGGGCTTGCGGTCCTATATTAAGATATGAAATTTTGGCTTTCATTTGTTGGAAAGTATTTGTCGGAGAGAGGATGGAAACATAACCGGAATATAGCTCCTGCCCAGCTGTACTGAGCACGGCACAGGCAACAAATAAACATCCGATCGCTGGAGATCTCGGAGATGACGGCCAGTGAAGAAGCTTGGACTTCAGATAGATCGTCGGAGCTGAG